CATTCACGTGCTTTACTACAACCTTGCCTAAATGTGCTGCCAACTGTGAAAAAATGGTGTCTAAAAGTGATAATCGGAGATCGTTCTGCTCTTGAGCTGTTCGTCTACCAAAAGTGAGTATTTTGAGGCAGTACGCTGCAGAAATCGCCTCATTCTTACTTATCATTCAAGTACTTATAAAAATCATATGAAACATTCATACCACAACTTTATCTGGAGTGAGACATCCGGACACCTCTGTTCGCCATGCTCCGTTCGGCTCAATTTTGCACTTCATTTTGAATGCCTCGTTTTCGGTCTGGAACTCGAATTTTAGAAAGAACAGCAAAGCATTAACTCACAATGGGGTGGTGAGGATCAATCAACCCTCTTTACAGGCTTCCAGACTGTATTGGAAATAGAGTATGAGCTTGGCATTTTTGAATCACACGTAGGCTTGGCAATCGGTTTAGACTCACCCATTCTTCATCATTTTTGTAGGTCTTTCCTTTGAATTGACAAGCTAAAACGGCGCTGAATCCCATGCAGATCAGAAACAACTTCATCCTTCAATTAGTGATATTTGTTTTCTTCAGAAGTTCTTTTATTTGCAATGCGTACATAACGAGCCTGACCACCCTACTCTTCCAATATTCACAAAGATGCGCTAGTAACAAAACAGGGTGGAAAAATGACTGCTCATGAATGTTAAACAAATATTATTGCGGAAATAGAATCGAAGTTTAGTTCCAATATTGAGTGAACAGCTGATAGCAGGAGCAAATTGAAGATCGTCGAACATTAAAAGCTTGACTGGTCTGGGCATCTCTTTACAAAACGACGGGATACTCTAAGCAAAAATTGCATCAAAAAGCCGTAAGCTGTTGATCGATCTCCCTAAATGATAGCTTCAAGGCTGCTGACCTAAACGCTTTTTTGTGCCTTTGAAATTTTTTTAAACCTTGAATCTGAGTTGTGTTTACTTACACCTTTTTTGGGAGGGAATTCTTTTACCTATTTCGAAGAATGTTGAGCTTCCGGCAAGCTCATTGCTTAGCGTCCTGACTGCAGCCTAATTCTATTCAAGTGCGCTTTTCGTTGCAGTCAGTGTCATGCATGTGAAGAATCATTTTCGGCGAGCAGAGCCTTGTTTTGAGAACATCATCACGCTGGACTCCGTTTTCATCCGATTACTCTTCTAGA